TATTACAAGCTTTGTCCTCAGTTATGGATTACATGTGGACAAATCTCAAATGTTCGCATACTCAACTGATCTGCACAAACATTTTAGGTTACATCAATACATCTGAATTAATCAAACGGTTTACCTTATAGTTATTACCAAGTAACACAAATCTACCCATGAATAATTGGGTAAAGAAAAGTGAGTTTTTAATGACCGATTGAAAAACAAAATCTGTCTACATTGTAGGTTTGAGTTTACTTGAACACAAAGATGACCCACTTGAAGACTGGAGGCAGAAATTTTGGACATCTTACAAGGTACGTATAAAGTCATTGTCTGTCTTTATTAAACTTCATGATGGCGATATGTTCCCAGATCTCCTGTAATAATCTCTCTCTCTCTCCCACTCTGTAGACTGGGGTAGTATTTTGGTCAACAATGCAGGTTTGCTCAAGTCTTTTCTGCACACACAGACTGAGAGAACTACACTGATGACAGGCTTTCACAATCATGATATCCATTTTTCTTCTTTCCCATCACCTCAGGCAGTGAACTTTGCATTCGTCCCCCCTGTGGCTCGGACGGTGTTTCTGGGTGGTGTCGCCCTGGTTTTCACAATCTTCCTGTGTCACCTCAGACAGCAGCGACACCATGAACAGGAAAGAACCTGAGACTCTCCTCGTCACATCGAAGGCTTTAGTAAACTAACTAAAAACACAATTCCAAAAAAGCTGGGACACTGTGAGTAAAATCTGAATGCAGTGATTTATATACATCAGAAACCCATAAACCCCAGCAGCTGGTCTGTTCCCAGATGTTTACAGGCTGCTGTTAAACAAAGACGCGATGCTACATTGTAGTAAATATGGACTTATCCCAACTTTTTTGAGATGTGTTTCTGCCATCAGATTCAAAATGAGCTAATATTTTTCTTTAAACGTCACATGATACATTGTCTCAGTTTTTGACATGTTTTGTTCTATTGTGAATAAAAGGTTAAGAGGATCTGGTGAAATCATTTGATTTAAACAGACTAAGAGAATACTGCAACCAAATGCGAGGAAAAACAAAATAGCTAAATAATAATAATAATAGCTAAAGCTACACTTTAGCTAGCAATGGCTCAGGGTCACTGTAGCCATTAATTTTACCTGAATCCTTTGCAAAAAATCTTTATAGATTTTGCATCATGGTACTGATCCAGAGTACTTCCCTTATTATTTATTCCTAGTGCTATAACAATAAAGTAATTAAAATAAAAAAATAAAGCAAAAAATATAAAATAATGTACTTATGGGGATTCAATTTGTTTGACTATCCAGTCTATGCAGGCAGAAAGTTTGTTAAATGTTTAAACTCTAGAGAGACAATCATTTTGCTGCTGTAAAATCAGCACTTTGTCATATTTGAAATATAAATCCATATTTTTTATAGTGTTTTTTCAGAATATCATAATTATAATAATTCATAATTATGTGGATATGCATATATTTCACAAAAAAATATCTAATAAGTCCTCCAGAAAGGCAGGAAAAGCCCTTGAACTTACTTTAAAACTAAATATGTTCCCTAAACGGTGGACAGACTTAGATCCCTGACATCCTTACCCAGCCAGCTAGCAGCTGTGACCAGCATTACTTGTGCAGTTAATAAAAGGACAGCTAATATTAGTTGCGCTGGTGCACACACGGCACGCCCATTTGTTTCAATTCGACACCTCGCTCTGCAGTCAAGGGCGATCATTGGTTAATAGTAGTCATGTGACTGATGCAAGTCAGATCATTTTATTTAGCAAAACTGTGATTAATAGTTAAATATTATTGTTGAGGGGCGCAGGCAAGACCCCACACGCACACACACATAAAATAAATAAACAAAGATTTAAAAATTGCCTCAAAAAAAAAGGGCAATTAGGGCACCAATCAGGAAAGGGGCAGGTGCTTTAAACTTCCTCCGTTTCATCCTCACTTCTCTCGTGGCTTTAGTTAGAAAAACCCGAGCAAACGCTCAGTCTTTAAAGAACTAGTTGTAGCAAAGCTGACAAGATGAAAAACAGGCACATTTCAGTCAATCGCATATTTTCCTTTCTCTCCCTCTCTGTCCTCCTCTCTCAGGTTCAAGGTTCAAGGTTCTTTATTTGTCACATGCATAGTTATACAAGTATAA